GTGTTCAGAAAATATATACGACCAAGTGAGATAACTCTACCATTCTTAAAACTACGCGTCTTCTGTATTATTTTTGTTCTCCAAATTACACAATCTTGCTATTTTGGTGGGCCTCTTTGAGCGGACAGTATAGGATTTCGCCCTAGCTCTCCCGAGAACGAAATAATGATCTAGATCTAGGTCAAGTGCTTTAATTTCATTTTTTTGGCTGTTTTTCAGCTCTGATCTGCTATTCTACAATATATTATAATGAGATACAACTTTATTGATCATGTAAAGTACAATTAAGAAGCAAAAATGTACTTAAAGATGCAAATTTCCTTCCAAAATGAGTCGAATCGAGGCTTTCTTAGTCCCCTACACGACTGACGAAAAAGCGTGCATGCAGGAAAATCGCGTAGTCAGGCAAAGGCGGTCATTGACTGACAAAAACAAGCTCATGTGCATGTGAGCTTGGCCTGCAAGTGACGAAAAAGCGCAGTGGACGCGGGGCCTTAGTGATGGACGGCTCTCTCCAAGACAGTTGTAAACACAAGCATGCCGTGCATTGATATTCTACAGCACAATGTCTTGTCTTACGCTTCCCGCATCTTTTGTGTTGGATATTATAGTTGTGAAATGTGTGTTATTAATCAGCATTTAGGAAAGCATCACGTTCCAGTTTAATTGTTCTCTAAAAATACGAGAGGACACAGCTACCTCTTTCTAGAAATGTTAGATAAACAGAAAACAGAAATTTACTGAATGTTTCGATGTGTTTCTAAACTTTCGAGAATAACTGATAGAATGTTCATTACGTTTTGCCCGGCTGGGGGTTCACGTGGCTTTCTGCCCTTCCCCGGAGATCGGAAAACAAAATAATGATTAAACCCAATATTTGATGTTTATGTTGGGACAGGTTAATACAGGGAAATTATTTCTTTGTCGAACTCAAAACATACATATAGTAAAAACAAAATATCCCCCCACCCCCGAAAAACCCACCCCCAATGATGATCTTTCGATCT